CGGGTGCCTGTAGTCCCAGCTACTTGGGCGGTGGAGGCAGGAGAATTACTTGAGCCCAGGAGTTAGAGGTTTCTGTGAGCTGTGATGCCACTGCACTCTACCCAGGGCGACAGCTTGGGGCTCTGTCTCAAAAAACAAAAACAAAAAACTGTAACACCAAGAGGTGTTCACTGGGGCTCAGCAGTGAACACGGCAGGAAGATGCCTGCATATACCTTCCTTCTAGTGGGGAAGACAAGAGTCACAGACAAGGAAGTGAGGGGACCCTTGCAGCCTGTGATCAGTGCTGTGAAGCAAACAGGCTGGCAAGGGGCTAGTGATAAGGGTGGGAGTGGCAGAGCCAGTCCTGAGCCAGTTATCTCTTCTGCAAGGTTATTAATGTTATTGATGCTGGGACAGCCAACCCAGGCTTGGCTTCCAGGGTCTCATAGTCTAGTTGGACAGACGATACAGGTGAGCAGGGCAGGTATAGTGAGCAGGGGGGGTGGGCCCAGCATGATTGCCAAGGTGGAGCATTGTCCTGGTCCTGTGGAGCCAGGTCTCCTGAGGAGCAGGGAAGGGACAAGCCCAGGTACAAGCTGGACTATCTTACTGGGCATACTGGAGGCTGGGAGGTGGAGCTGTGGGCCTGTGGGCTGAGTGTGCTGTGTGTCTGCCCCCAGGCCGGCCTTACCGTGGCAAGCCCAGCGACATGTGGGCCCTGGGCGTGGTGCTCTTCACCATGCTGTATGGCCAGTTCCCCTTCTACGACAGCATCCCGCAGGAGCTCTTCCGCAAGATCAAGGCTGCCGAGTACACCATCCCAGAGTGAGTCCTGCCTCCCTGGGATGGGATGGGGTGGGGCAGAGGAAAGGGAAACAGTACAGTGAGCCTGGGCATCCTGGGTCATGTGACCAAGCACCTCCACACCAGCTGAGCCGCCTTCTCTCACCCTGTGTCAGGGACGGGCGGGTTTCTGAGAACACCGTGTGTCTCATTCGAAAACTACTGGTCCTCGACCCCCAGCAGCGCCTGGCTGCTGCTGCTGTCCTGGAAACCCTCAGTGCCATCATTGCATCATGGTAAGTGGACAGGCACTAGGCCGGGCAAAGGCTCAGTTCTCAGGTGCTTTGTCCATCCTGCCCAGAAAAGTGGCCTATGTTCAGCCTGTTTCTCTGCAAGGCACAGATTTCCAGATTCTCCCTGAGGGCAAGGTCAGGAAGAGGCAAGCAGAGGTCAGGGCCAGGCACTTCCCACGTGCTAGTCCATGGCAAGTGGGGCATGGGCACCACCTCTCTGAGTTCTCACCCACCACCTTCCAGGGAGAAAGTAAAGTATCCCCTTTATTGGATGAGAAAACTAAGGCTCCAAGCAGCAGTCAGTCCTGTCAGGAACCCAACCCGGGTCTGTCTGACTCCAGCCAAGTCTGGGACCAGTGGTGACCTGGCCTCTCTCAGGCTGCCTGGAGCCAGCCTGACTTGTCCTCCTCCCTTGCAGGCAGTCTCTGTCATCTCTGAGCGGGCCTTTACAAGTGGTTCCTGACATTGATGACCAAGTGAGCAATGCTGACAGCTCCCAGGAGGTGAGTTGGGGGCATGCAGGGCAGGGGCAAACATGGCAGCTCCCTGCAGGCCACAGGGCTTCCTCAGCTTTCTTCCTCACCCTGAGGTGCCTGGGGCCTGTCTTGGGTCTGGTGCAGCTTGAAATCTGCAGCCTGAGAGGCCTGTGGGGCAGCCGACCTGCAGCCAGCTCCTGGGAGCCCCAGCCTGGCCTTCCTGGCTTCCTCCTCCTACCCACGTCACATTTCTCTGCCCTCCCTCTGACTCACTGGGTGTCTCTACTCTTCCTACTTTTCATTTTTCAGATGATTCATTTCTACCTGTTTTCTCTCCTCCCTGTTCCTCGCACTGCAGAAAAGTGCTAGGCTGGGGCTGGGGGCAGAGGCCTGGGTGCAAGGCAGCAGCTGGTGGGTGATCTTAGGGTGCCCCCTGGAGGGCAGGGATTGGCTGGAGCTGGGATGTTGGAAGGACCTTCCTTCCCTGGCCCACCTTGGAGCTCCACATCAAGCAGTGGGCAAGTAGCACCAGGCAGGACTATTCCTGGGACAGCAGCTCAGCCTCCTAGTCCTTGAGAAGAGAGTTCCATTCCTCACCCACTCTAGCTCCCACCATTTCTGGGCTGTGCAGCTGCTAAAGTAATGATCACTAGCATGCCTTGAATACCTGCCTGCAGCACAGCCAGTCAGTCCTCACAGCGAGTGGTCTGTGTGCTTAGCCTCGTTTGATAAAAGAAGAAACTGAAGTTCAGTGAGGTGAAGTGATTTTCCCAAAGTCACACAGCTTGGAAGAACCTAAGTCTGATTTCAAAGCCCTGCTTTCCCTCTCCCGTGACCATCAGTTTCTGTGAGCATCTGCCTGGCCTGTGCCAGAGAGCTCAGCCCAGCATATGTGGCTGTCTAGGTGCTGAGCACCCGGCCGGAGGCCCTGCTCTCACTTGACACACATCAGCCGCCTCAGGCACAGAGAACCTCTGCGAGGGGTAAGGAAGCTAAGGCTTCCGAGGCAATGTGACCTGTCCCAAAGTCAATGAGTTGGGAAGAGGGGCCCAAGTCAGATCAGGGACTGGAGCCTGTTGTATGACACCCAGGGGGGCAGCCAATGAAACAAGTCTGGGTGGGCTGGGGGGCTTCAGGGAGGTAGCTGCCCAGTGAGATGGGCGGTTGCCCTGGGAGGAGAAGCCTCAGGGAGCGGCACTGCCAGCTCTCACTCCACTCTTCTGTGTCTGCTCTTCCGTCTTTATCTTGGTTTGTCTGTCTCGCTCCTTTCCCCTCGGCCTCTAAGGCGAAGGTGACAGAGGAGTGCTCCCAATACGAGTTTGAGAACTACATGCGCCAGCAGCTGCTGCTGGCTGAAGAGAAGAGCTCCATCCACGAGGCCCGGAGCTGGGTGCCCAAGCGGCAATTTGGCAGCGTGCCGCCGGTGCGACGGCTGGGCCATGACGCACAGCCCATGACCTCCTTGGACACAGCCATCCTGGCACAGCGCTACCTGCGGAAATAGCAGCCTGAACCAGAGGCACCAGCACCACCCGCACCTCTTCCAGCCCCAGGCCCAAGACCTGGCTATCAGGGCTGGGCCCTGTAGTGTTGGACTCTCCCGGCTGCAGTGGGACAAGACAGGGACGGGGACAGCCCAGGTCACACGTAGGGTCAGCAGAGGTACCACAAAGCTACCTTTTGGGATGATTGCTTGATTGTTTGGTTTTTAAATCTGAGAAGCCTAGATAACTAATCTGCTTTTAATCATGACGTTTTAATCTACCTCTGTCTCTTTAACCATGCTGTCTCTGGACTGAGTGAAAGGGAGGAGGAGGAAGCCCACCCGCCCACCCTGGCCTGACCCCACAGTCCAAATAAGCTGAGAATGCAGCTCGCTGCTGGCCCCACATGAGCACCATGCTCCCTGCTTCCTCCTTTGGGCCCCCCTGCCCAGCCTGTCTCCCTCCCTTCTGACCCTAGGCCCCTCAGTCTAAGCTTTGGAAAATCTTCACCTCATCTTAAGCCGAATTCAAATATATTTATTTTTTTACTATAACCAACTTCTCTCCCATCTCTAGGTGGCTTGGCCCATGGCCACTCCCTGTCCCCAGCCTGGCTGGATGGCAGGGAGTCTGCAGCCCACCATGGGCTCCCTCTTCACCCCAGGCACGGAGAAGCCCTCCTTGCCAGCCCCTCTCCACTTTTAGCCCACCAGACCCTCTCTGTTTCTGGTGGTAGGGAGGCCTTTCTAGACTTGGCTCTTTCTTCTGTCTCAGTAGCTTCTCTGAGGTGCTGTGCACACGCATTAACCTGTTTCCTTCTCCAGCCTTCACTGTGGTACCGAGGTAACGTGGACTTGCAATGTGAAGGGGGCATGGCGGTCGGGCCGGGAAGTGCTGTGTATCTGCTGCGGCCCTGCCTGCAGCTCTCTGCCCCAGGCTGTGTTCAGAGGATAGTGAGGCATCTCCCCTGTGCCCTTGCCTCATAATAGACACGGTGTCTCTCCCAGCAGACCCTGGCCAGGGTCCTCCACAGAGCCTGGGGAACCCTGCCCTGCCTGGCACGAGAACAGCCCTGCTGCCCTTATTGAGCCGAGATTTTGAAGTGGATGCCCGTCTTGCCAGAAATGCTGTTCTCACCAGAATGCCCTCCTTTGCCCCTCACTGGACTTGGCCCTGCTCAATGCCAAGCAGAGACCCTTCCCCGGAGGCCTATCCCTATGGCCCTCAGAGAGGCTGAGTGTCCCTCCAAGCAGCCCTTGGATCCTTCCCACCTAGCTCCCTAGTGGGAAGGCAGCTGTGTTCCCAGAGTGAGCTGCCCTCCTCCCCCAAAAAAGCTGACTCACTGTGAGTGACCTTGGGCAAGTTCCCAAACCTCCTTGTGCCTCAGTTTCCCCATCTGGAAAAAATGGGGCCACCTCTTGCCAGCAGTAGCAGGGCTGCCCACGCCCCTTCTTCCCCATACCCCCATCCAGCACTTGGGCACCTCATGCCTCTGCCTCAGTGGGTCTGTGGGAGCCCACCTGAGCCCAGCACTTACTCCCCCGAGCACTGAGCTCTGCCTCTGCCGCAGTCTAGCCACTGAGGGCGAGGGTAATGTGCCGTGGGGTGGGGGATGCCCTCTTTTCTATATTTATTTCATAAGGAAATGTCTCCTGAGGGAGCAGAAATGCAGGCCAGCTGAGGGTTCCCAGCCCTGACTGTCCTCCCGTGAGGGTCTAAGGCTTGGCCAGGGCCCATCCCAGGCCCACCTCGGGCCTGCTTTCCATGTGTGGTCTTTCTCCTCCTCGTCAAAGCAATATCCTCCAGGCCTGCAAAGCCCTATCAGACAGACTGGTCCCTTCCAAGGTCAACTCTTGTGTCTGATTACATTTTTGGAGAAGCAAATGAGAGGAGGATGGGTCTGCCCTCACTGAGTATCACACACACGCTGAGAGAAGTCCTATTGTAAAGAAACAAAACAGAAAAAAAATCACAAAAAGTTTGTATAAAGACATATTTTTGTACTACATGGGGGACTCTTCCTGCATGTCAGCAATAAACTCCCTGATCTGGAGCCACTGTGGTCTGTACTGTTCTTGCCTTCGCCACCGTGTCTGGCCCCTGACCCAGCTCGACCTCCCTCCCATCCCAGCTGCGCCTTGCAAGATCCCTGCAGCATATGCCCCCTCTGTGCCCCCCACAGCCAGCAGATGGCACCCAGCACCACTGTCCTGAATGGGGAGGGGAGGGAGAACCATCAGTTGAAGCGCCCTGACCTGTGCAGGCAGTAGGGGTCCCAGAGCTGCTGCAGCTGGGAGTCTTGAACCGTTCTCTGCCAGACTCTATCTGGGGTGAGGGGAGGTAGCCAGATGGAACCTGCCCATGTGCCCACATGCCCACACAGGGCAGCTGGGGTGACCCAGGCCAGGCCTTTTCCTGAACCACCTCCCTCCCATCCCCTCCACAGGGAGCCAAGGGTTTCCTTCCTTCCTTTCTTCTTTCCTTCCTTCCTTTGCCTAAATTTAGACTACAGATTGAGCGTCATTCTAGCAGTGAAGCTAGAGATGGGCTGACCCCTCTGGGATCACACCACAGCACCCTCGCAGACACACTTCTGTGTTCAGGAGCCCTCATGGGTGCCAGTCACAAAAGGAACAGAGACCTGGGCAGGCAGAGTCCCTTCCTAATCAGGGGTCTACACAGCAAGAGGGGTGGCACCTCTCCAAGATGTGAGAACACTATGATTCCCTAGCAATGCTTCAGGGAAGGCTCAGCCCCAAGCCCCTCGTCCCCACTTTTACTCCACAGCCCCACACCTGCCCCAGCAGCCAGGCGTCTGTACAAGCTTTGCCCATTACATTTGTCCTTATCTGTCCTGGAGGCACTGTGGGAAGGTGCCCTTGCGCCCAGCCCACCACTGTCACTCTGGCATCTTCAGCCTCATTCCTGTGAGCCTCCATTCAGTGCAGACATTACCCAGGCACCTGCAGGTGTCAGGCTGGCATGTAGTACACAGACAGCAGTTCTGTGCAGCCCAGGGCTTCATCATGCTCACACCTGTATCCTCAGCACCTAGGACGGGCCTCCGGCACACACACACACTCCAGAACTGTTTGACATTGCTTTTTTTTTTTTTTTTTTGAGATAGGGTCTCACTGTCATCCCCAATAGAGCACAGTGGCATCATAGCTCACAGCAAACTCTTGGGCTCAAGTGATTCTCTTGCCTCAGCCTCCCGAGTAGCTGGGACTACAGGTGCCCATCACAATGCCCAGCTATTTCGAACTGTTTGAGTTATTGACCTGAACTCAGATCGCTCTTGACAAGTTTTTATTGTAAGCCCTGGATGCAGAGGAAGGGGAAAGCACCGGAAAGATGGGTAAGACCAAGAAACTCTTGAGGGGGCAAACGAAATAAGAACTGAGAAGTTTCCATGATCTTTAGCCACACGTGGTCTCCAGTGTCATCAGGGAATGCAGTTTCAGAGAGAAGCCAGCTAGGGCTGTCAAGCTGAAGTGGAAAAGGAAGTGAGGAAATGGAGTCTTGGTGGCTGAGTTGTTCAGGCTCCAAAGCCAAGTTAGCCTTGCCTTTATTATTTTTTTTTTTTCTGTTGAGACAGTCTCACTATGTCGCCCTTGTTAGAGTAGCTGGGACTACAGGCAAGCATCACCATGCTCAGCTAATTTTTTCTATTTTTATTTTTTGTTTTTGTTTTTTTGGAGACAAGAATCAGTCTCACTTTGTTACCCTTACTAGAGACATGGCTTCATACCTCACAGCAACCTCTAACTCTTGGGCTTAAGCAATTCTCTTGTGTCAGCCTCTCAAGTAGCTGAGACTATAGGCGCCTACCACAACACCTGGCTATTTTTTGTTGCAATTGTCATTATTTAGCTGGCCAGGGTCAGATTTGAACCCACCACCATTGGTGTATGTGGCTGGTGCTGTAACCACTGTGCTATGGGCGCTAAGCCTAGCCTTGACTTTCTGTCTGTCTCCCTCATACTCCACCGCTGCTCTACTGGTCCTACCTTTAGAACATAGGCAGAATCTGACCACCACTCATAGCTCCACAGCAGCCACCCTAAGCCCCCACCTCTCACCTCCAGGTCTCCCCTCTTCCACTCTTCCCTGGCAACAGTCCAAGTGCCACATGGCACCCAGAGTAAGCCTTTATTTATTTATTTATTTATTTAGAGACAATCTCACTCTTGCCCAACCTAGGAGTGCCATGGCGTCAGCCTAGTTTACAGCAACCTTAAACTCCTAGGCTCAAGGGATCCTCGTGCCTCAGCCTCCCAAGTAGGTGAGAATACAGGTGCGCACCACAATGCCTAACTTTTCTATTTTTAGTAGACATGGAGTCTCTTGCTCAGGTCAGCCTCGAACTCCTGAGCTCAAGCTTAAAACCCTCTGATGGCTTCCATCCCATGCAGAGTAAAATCCAAAGCCCTGTGTGGTTTATGAAACACTGCACCAAGGGGCTGTACACCAGGCTGCTTGGCCCTGACCGCTCAGACCCTCACTCCTCACCCAGGCCTCCTGAGCCTGAACAAGCCACACATGTTTCCACCTCATAGCCTTGGTATTGGTTATTCTTTCTGGAAGGCTCTTCCCCCAAATCTTCCATGTCTCCTTACCTCATTTCATTCAAAATGTCCCCTCCTGGGGCAGCGTCTGTGGCTCAAGGAGTAGGGTGCCAGCCCCATATGCCAGAGGTGGTGGGTTCAAGCCTGACCCTGGCCAAAAACTGCAAAAAAAAAAAAAAAAATGTCCCCTCCTCAGAGAGCCCTTCTCTCACCTGTCCATCTGATTTTTTTTTTTTTTTGAGACAAGAGTCTTGCTCTCTGGCTTGGGGCCTATAGCTCAGTGGCTAGGGCACCAGCCACATACACCAGGGCTGGCGGGT